GAGAACAGTGCTGAATATGCAACCTTCCCTCCCCTCTCCCTTTTCCCTCCCTCTCCACCCCAACCACTTTATTTTTTCTCCTGGTCTCGATTGTTTGCTAGTCTCTAATATCTCTGTTTGGACAAAGCCTTGAACTTCCATATCCACTTTAACCTTTCTCCTACAGCTTCTCTGCTTATTTATGACTGACTGAAGCCCTTCTGTTCTCTCTGACATTCTAACGAGGTCCCATTACTTGCCCTACAATTGCCACTTTGCTCCTATAGTTGTTCCTTATCTTAATCTTGGCTAATATTCGTGGTTCTACTTGTAGCTGAAGGTCTACAAGCTCACAATTTTCACTTTTCTCCGCACAGTCCTCACAGTAGGCACACCGTAGGTGCACAGTAGTCAGTTAGTGGGAAAGCTGTGATTTGCCATCTTTGAAACCTTCTCAAAGTAGAACAGGACGGAGATACACGTAATCCCAGACAGACAGGGCTGGTGTGGAGGATCCTCACCAGTCAGAATGTGGAGTTCTTGAATAACCTATTTCCCTGAAGGGACTGCGGAAATTTGATGGACAACAGAACAGATCCAAGACAGCCTCCAGGACTTTTGATGAAGCTTACTCAGTCAGGAGAAATGTGAGAGGTGAGAGAAAGGTCTCAGTGTGTTAGAACAGAGTATGTCTATTAGCGGGACCTTTCTATATTAGTAGATCAGCATAGGGAGCTGGGACAGTGCTGCCAAAGCTGAGCCAGTCAGAAAGTTAGCTGCAATCTCCTCTGTCTAGATGGTAAAATGATTGTATTTCCTTTGCTGATATGGATTGACTGAAGGCAGATCCACCTTGCTGGTTGTTGATTGATGTGTGTGTTTTGTCAGTTCACTCACTGCATGAGGTTTCACGTGGACTCAGCTTGGCTTCTTAGGGAACTTTCAAATGCCAATCTCAAGCAAAGGACCAGACAAAATTCTGTGCCAGTGCAACTGTCCCTAAAATCAAGTCAAACAGTGAAACCTATTCTATCAGTCATGACTTGGGCATTTGTTTTTATTTCTTTTGTGTTTACTTTTTTGATTCTTTGTTTCTTTGTTTGTTTTTGCTGAATTCAGACTTAATATTGTCATCCTCTGGGAACTGGCTCTTTTGAAAGGTTAGGTTTGCAGGCTTCTTTATCAGCTTAGGCACTAGTGAGCACATAGTTGCTGTGCCAGTGAAGGGTCTCGGTGGGCTCCGCTTATGCTCCAGGTAGAAGAAGCCTAGGATAACTTTGCTTCTTGGAGATTATTGTGGCCCTTTTGAAGTGTGAGCTTGAATATGTGCACAGATCCAGAGGAAGGTGTCTATATATTCTCCTTGAAGTGTTCCTCCTGGCAAAAATAAAGCAATATGAAGGAGTGGTTTTGTGTCCATTTCTTCAGCCAGTTCTACTTGTATATTGATCATGTGTCAGGGACCATAGGAAGGGCTCATGAAGAATAGATTTATAGAGCAGAGCCTCTGTCCTCCAGATCCTCGAGAGTGGCTGGTCAGCATGAGGATGATCACGCAAGAGGCACCTGCTGTGGGTACCTGCTGAAGGGGTCCAAGGTAGAACTTGACTGAGCCTAAGGGGGATGTACCAGTTATGAACTCTACTTTGAGATCAGACAGAAAATGGGTCCCAACCTCAGCTCTGCCCTTTTTAAACTATATGTCTTTAGACTTAGTTTTTGCTATGCAAATATTTCTGGGTTTGACTTTTCTCTTCTGCTATAAAATGTAAGATCAGGTAAAGTCTGAAAAGCACCTAGCTCCCCACCCAGCACATAATTCCTGCTGAATATATGTGGGCTTTGTCATTATTATTATTATTCACCATCATCACCATCATCATTATCATCATCTGTATTTACTGAATGAGAGAAGCCTTCACAATAAAATAGATACTCAAACAAGGTTTTGAAACACAGCCAGGGTTTGCCAGGGCACCTGATGGCAGGGACTCATCCCAGAGAAAAGCAACCGTTGGTAAAAACACTCAGAACAATGAGAGTGAGCTGGGATATTTTTCTGGGATTGGCAATAGCAGAAATGACTGGATTCTTGATTTTTCTGGGGTAAAACGTGTTGGCGTATGGGTCTTTTGAGGATCTAAGGTGTAAAATGATAGATGGTGGTCACACCATAAGAGGTATTAAATGTTATGCTGTGAAATATAATTATTACTCTGAAAATAAGTAGAAGTTAGGGACAACATTGGATCAAAGTTTAGCACGGCTGCCAGAATGAAATCTGGGCTAGAGAGGAGCTTGGAGGTACGTATGTCTAGAGCATTCAGGAAGGAGAAGGTACTTAAAGAAGGGGGCTAGCACTAAAAGCAGCCAAGGAAGAGGAAATATAGGAAAGGTGACTAAGGTTTTCCTCCAAAGGCCATAAAATGGACTTTATCCCTCTTGTACCCCTTCAAAATCCTTTGCCTTCTTTAGTTCATGAAACACATTTACAAGAAATTCTACAACTACAGGACTGAGTTTTAGAGGACTGCAGATTTAAAATAGTGAATTCTCTCTTTTGATGTCTCAGTTTGTTGGCCATGAGTGGACTGAATCCCATACAGCCAGGAGAATCTGCTTCCAAGATTTACTCACTCCTAGCAAATGGCATATGCAAGTCCAGATCTTTGAGAAGGTCTGAAATAATTATTTGGAGAAAAGAAAGAAAAAGAAAAGGAAAGGAAAGGAAGGAAATAATAAAATATATGATTTCTTCCTTGAGTACTAAGTTCCCTGGTTCTATTTAAGAGATTGTAATTTAAAAATGTACGCCCCCATCTTTTCAGGAAGATTTCGACTGTATAATGTGACAGACTCCTGAAACATTGCTTTTAGTTTATTCAGAGCTGGTGCTAAGAATATAAAGATGAACCAAATGTTGTTCCTGCCTTTCGGGAGCCTGATGTCCAGCACAGGACACCGGCGTGCAAGTGATGGATTGAAGGTTTTGTGGTGACAGCAGTGGGAACAGAGAGGGGATGCATCCTTGTCTGCCTGAGAGAATAAGAGCTTTGCAGGAGGATGAAGACAAGCCGTCTATGTCACAGTGGTGGAGATGCATTTGCCATATGGTGACCATATTTTCTGAATCAAAAATCAAGATACATGATCTGACACGAGGTTTGACGAGGGGACAGAATTTTTGAAATCCAGGCTGTCCGAGGAAACCTAGGACATATGGCCGCCATAACTGATCATTACTCTGCACAGAGGGGGCGTGGTTTGATCCACGAACTACCAAAGCCAGGATTCAGGCAGACAATTTATATCAATGCTTAAGTGCATATGTGGCCAACTGTATTTTCTGACCCTGTGTATTAGCCTGGACATGGCTGGGCACTCATTCATTCAGAGCAATCCTAAGCAAAGCTGGGCATGCCGAAATATAGAAAACCTTACAGACTACCTGGTCTAAACTGCAGCTCACCACACCAGTGGAGGAACTGAGGCTCAGAAAGGAGAAGCGAATCCCTCAAAAGCATGCAGCTCCTATAGAACAGAGCTGGGGCTGGGTGCTGTTCCTTCCTGTCACCAGGGCTAGATTTGAGGGACACATCAGAAAAGTCCATAAATTGAGAGAAAACCTAACATGCCAGCCTTGGTGTCACTAAGGCCACAGTCAGTAGATTCACTCCCAATGAAACAACCGAAGTGTCATATTTGATGGCCTTGAGCTCAAATCTCTCCAGAATATTGATGAGGCTGCCAAGCTGAATATGAGAATGCCAGGGTGTTTAAGACGCAAAGGAGGTTGTTATAACACGATTTGTCAATGCCAAAGAGTTCCAAGGACTCTGTGTCTTCAATATTATATTCTACTGATCTTTCTCCATTGGAGGTGAAGCAGTAATGAAAAGAGAAAGCTCATAGAAACAGAATGAGGTATTCAGGTGTGCACATTCAGGAGAGAGAGCTCGGTCTCAGCCAGACGAGAGGAAGATCAAAAGTCCTCCTGCCTTTCTCCAAGATGGCATTGGAGAGGGAACCCACCTGACAGCTACACCCATTGATCTTGAATCTCTGGTCTTTCTGACTTGGGAAGAGGCTGAGCTCCAGACGTACAAGCTGCCAAGAAACACTTAGTGCCTTCACAGCCAAAGAAAAATGTAACACGCCTGCCCAGCATGTGAGAAGGGCAAAAAAAAAAAAAAAAAAAAAAAAAAAAAAAAGTGGCTTTTCCTCTGGGGCTGACAAATACCAGCCCAGAACTCAGATTAAAATGCACGACAGACATTCTCTCCCTGATGTGGGTCTAGGCTGCAGAAATAATTCAGAAGAACTAATGGAATGGTCTGTGCTTGGCCTGCATGCCTCTTCTTCTGGAATTCCAGCACGGTCCCACCTCTGGGATGCAGAGCTGTTTGTGGGCATGTGGTCCAAGCTGGGGACCACCCATGTGTTTTCTTTCCTCTCCTCTCCTCTCTATGCTCTTCCTTTTCTAGTCTTTATTTTTCTCTACTCATCTCATTCATTTCCTTTTGTCTTTCTTCTCCCTTCTTTTCTCTTCTCTTCCATTTCTTCCCATCCCTTCTCTTTTCCTTCCTTCTCTTCTCTCTTTTCTTTTCTTTGTCTTTCCCCCCATCTGGGCTGACATACGAGGATGCAAATTAAAAATAAATTGCTCTGTGCCTAGATACTGTTGAGATCTGAGATGCTCTCCCAGCTGACCCATCATTTTTAGCCATCCATTCATGTTTTCGTCTACCCACCCTTGTACCCATCACTGTCTCCTGCCGTTCTCTCAGCCAAGCATTTATCTGTCTTTCTCTTCAATTCACATCAGCAGGCATTTCCTGAATCACATGTCAGTGCCAGTGACCCATAACACTCTATGGCAACAGAGATAAATATGACCTTGACTTGGAATTAGAGAAATCACCCAGTCTAGGAGGCAAACTTGTAATTATTGCTTAGTAAATGTTGCATAAGGGCAGAGCCCAGAGTCCATCCATCTATTCTGTGCAGTCTTTATTTTTTTGTATTTTTAGAGTCAGGCCCTCATTTTGTTGCCCAGGCTGCAGTGCAGTGGCACTATCATAGCTCACTGAAACCTTGAACTCCAGTCCCAAAGGATCCTTTCTCCTCAGCCTCCCAACTAGCTGTGACTGCAGGCATGTGCCATCATACCCAGCTAACTTTTTAAAAAAATTTGTAGAGGAGGGGTCTCACCATGTTACCCAGAATGGTCTCACACTCCTGGGCTCGAGGGAACCTCCTGCCTCAGTGTTCCAAATGCATTGCGATTACAGGCATAAGCCACTACACCCAGCCTCTGTGTAGTCTTAGGTGAATAGTTCTCTCAAGGGGAGGGAAAACACCAAATCTCTAAGTTGAAGGAGCACCTAGGAAGGGCGCATGGGGTGACGATGAACTGTCCTAAATTGCCTGGGACTGTAGGAATTCCTAGGATGCAGAACTCTCCACGTTAAAGTCAATACAGTCTCAGACAAACAAAGACGGGTTGGTCACATTAAGCATGCATTGGTCTGCGTGGTAGGCATTATAACAGGCACCCAAAGATGTCCAAATTCTAATTTCTGGAATCTGCGAGTGTGTTGCCTTACATGGCAAGAGGGACTTTGCAGATGTGATTACATAAAGGACTTTGAAATGGGGAGATTATCCTGGACTGCAAGTGTGCTTATAAAGGAAAGAAGGAAGAGGGCAGGAGTCAGAAAGGGTGACGTGCTATGGAAGTAGAGATTAGAGTGACGCAGTTGCTGGAAGTGTGCCACAGCCAAAGCAAGCAGGTGACCTCCAGGAGCTGGAAAAGACACCGAACGGATTCCCCGCCAAGACCTCCCAAAGGAACACAGCCCTCCTGACATCTGGATTTTAGCTCCAGGAGACCCATTTTGGGCTCTGACCTCCAGAACTTTAAGACAACAAATGTGTGTTCTTTTAAGTCACTAAGTTTACAGTAATTTGTTACAGTAGCAATAGGAGACTAATACACTCTGCTTTCTGAAAAATCCCCTGAAAACTTGGATCAGGTTGCCTTGCTGCCTTTCCGTGGCCCCCAGGCAGATTCTGGTTTCTCCCAAAATGCCATTTCTTTACTAATGCAAGGAGGCATGAGGCAAGTGCCGGGAGCACATTGAAACGCAACCCTTTACTGATCATCCTGGTTAAGCTGGAGCACTAGAATGGGAATCCAGACTCTTTGCCTGCATGTTTGGTTCTGCCTTTCCTTGCTCTGTCAGCTTGGTCTACTTCCCTGGAATCTCTGGTTCTCTGGTTCCCAGAATCTCTGGTTCTCTAAGATGAACTAAATAACATAGATTTATCATCTCGAACTCATAAACTTTGGTAACATTCTTAAGCGATTATGCATTTGTAATGTGTTTGTGACTGAATTTCGAGCACACACATTTTTAACATCACACCCAAGGGGGTGAAAATGGATTCTTGGAGAAGGGCGCTTACTGTTTCTATGTTTTAGAAACAGATGTACAGATGGTACATAACCGGATACACAGTACACCTGTGTTATAGAAAGTTCATGGAGTGATCACCAGGAAAATACGTCCAACACGTCTCCTTCAGGATGTACTAATGACAAAGAAAAAGGCTGAGAATCACTTGCCTAGTGATTGCACCGCCTGTTGCTATTTGAAAACGTATTTTAAAGGGCAAGGGCAAGAGGATGAAGCAGAGGAATCTCAGGAACTTTCTAGAGTCAGACAGATATAAATCCAGTTCTTCACGTGGTTGTAGATCTGTGTACTCTGAGATCAGTCTCTTTATCTATGACAGAAGATAGAACCGTCCTCAGGTTGCTGTTGGTATTTAATCAGATAAGGCAGGTAGAGATACAGATACATAGGTAAATATACATGGGCACAAGGCCTGGCCTTCAGCGATGTGTCTCCCCCTTTCTTTCTCATCTTTTTGCTCCTTACAAAACATCATCATGGAACCATTTCTTCACTGCCCACCCCACACTCTCATGCCCCCCCACCTGACACATATTTTTGCCTATAAATTGAATCAACATATGGAAACATCTAGCTTTATTTCATTCCCTGATTAGTGGAGCACCAAACAGGTGTCTTTGATTATTCTGGAGCCCAGAGAGGAGACAGTGCCGGAATAGGCTGACCCCTTTGGCCAGCGAGAAAAATAAGGCCCAGCGGGTGGCCTGGCCAAGCTGCCCTTGTGCTGCAACATGGTCACAGGGTTTCTCGGAATGTTCATCAGGCCACTGTCCAACTGCAGGGGGAGCTGAGGATTCAGCATGGAGGTCGTTCTGCTGGGTCCGCTTGTGTTATGATCAATTTGTGTTCTTACACAGTGCCCGTGCCTCCAGAGACAGACTTTGTGCCTACCATCCCATCTTCGCATAGATATAGAGTAATAGAAAAAAATAATAGTGTTCTATGACCTGTTACTGTTAAGATAAGAATTCCGTGTCATGGACCTAGTGTTCCTTTTATGAACCCCCACTGGAGGAAAAATAAATCTCCAGGCTCAATAGAGGGGACAGAAATGCTTCTTAAGGACATTTTCCCCTTTAAATCTAGTGAGCATCATGCATTGGAATCCATCTTGTTTCCTTCTGCACTTGGGCTGCCAGGAAAATCAGAGCCAAATTTGTGTTGTATTCCTAACATCTGTACAAAGCTTTTCTGATTTTTTATGTTAATATGTTTGATTTGTTCTTTGTAACTTTATCTTCTCTGCTGCTCCTGGATTCTTCCCAGAACTCTAGTGAGCTGACCTGTTCTCCAGGTAACTAACACCAGTGAGTATGCTCAGAAGACGACTAACGCTATTCTCCCCACTTTCCCCAGTTCTGAAACAGTTCAGGGTTCATAGATCTGCCTTTTCTCACCAAACATTGATACCACACTTAGATCGTGATCCAGAAGTCACGGCCCACAAGAGGCCACTTGGACCTTGCATCTTACTTGATACCTAACTCCAGGAATTGCCTCTTCAAAGGCACTGGATAAAAATGAAGGACCGGGCTCTAGGAAAGAAAACCCAGTTCAAAGTTCAGGTAAACAAATATGTTTTGACCGCCTAATCTAGGTATTGTGGAAGGTGCATGGACTCTCTCGTCCCAGAGCCCACAGTCTCACTGTGGCGACGGGCAGGGAAGAGTCCGTGTAGCACAGTTTCCTAAGTGCCATGGTGGAGCAAGTGCAATGCAGCATGGAAACAGGAGGGAGACCAATGTTGCAGACCCCAGAGAATCAGGCAGTGCTTCCTGGAGGAAGTGGCATTTGTGCGAAATTGTAAAAGACAGGCAGTTGAAAACTCATGTCCACATACAAAGCTGCACAAAAATATTCACAGGAGATTGTATTGATAATGGCTAAAACTTAGAGGCAATCAAGATGTCCTTCAATAGGTAAAGGAATGAACAAACTGTGGTACAACTGTACCATGGAATATTATTCAGCAATAATACTGGTGTGGAGGAAACTTACATGCATATAATTAAGTAGTAGGAGGTTGAAAAATCTATATACTGTCTGATTCTAACAATGTGACATTCTGGAAAAGGCTAAACTATGGAGAAAGTGAAAAAAAAATAGTGGCTCTTAGGGGTTTGGTGGCAAGGAGGAAGGGTTAGAAAGAGAGAGAGTGTGAAAGAGAGAGGGAAGACAGGCAGGCAGAGCACAAAGGCAGTCAGGGAGAAAGGACATTCCCGTTGGTGACAATAACAGAAGCCAAGGCGCAATACTGTGAAAATGCAGAGCCTGATTCAATCAGGACAGATCGTGTATTTTAGCTTCTGCTGTGTTGCAGAAACTTAAATACGAGACAGGAATAAGGGGGATGAGGCCAGGAAGCAAGTGGACCGGGCCACAGAAACCTAGATTTTGTCCTTAAGACAATGGGGAAAGTTTAAAATAACTCAAGCACAAGCATAAGATGGCCACAATTATTGCTCACTGCCACCAAGAAGCTGTGGATTTAAACCCTCAGCTTTGCCTCCTTCCCCTGCTCCTCTTCCAAGCACAGTCAGTGGGAAGTAACATGATCAAGTACACTTTTTAATGTCTAGTCTGTGAATATTTTTCATCAAGAGTGCCCAGGAATCATGGGGCAGACCATCTGACAGCCAATAAACAAACACCAAAAGTATAGCTCCGTGAAAACAGAAGCATTTACTGGACACCTACAAAGTGCCAGAAAGCTGCAGTTCTCTTGCTTTCTCTCTCCCTCTTTCTCTTTCTTCTTTCTTTCTCCGTCCCTCGTGCTCTCCTTCCTGCCCCACCCCCCATAACAATGTCTCAAGTTTGGTTTATTATTCCCATGCTACCACTGACAAACCGAGGCTGAGTGCCATGAAGCAATTTTACCTAATGCCAGAAGAAAGTGAGCCCAGGTCATCGGGCCCCACATCCGGTGCTTTCTATTTGAACTGCTTTCAAACTTACTATCCACCTCTGTTCATCCAATCTGAACTCTTCCAGCCTCTGCCAAAGAGGTCATTTCTTGGCACACTGAATCCCATTGTGGAGAGGGATAGGCTGGGTGTGTACTGGCTATCAGGTCACTAAAATTATTCTATGTAGACTTCTGCATCCATGATCTCACAGCAGCATCAATTATTGTGACCCAACTGTGTTGTTAATAGCTTCCTAAGGCTGTTACAACAAAGTTCCAAAGCAAGGTGTCTTAAACCCATAGAAACCTGCTCTCTCATAGTATGAAGGCAGAAGTCTGAAATCAAGGTGAGAGCAGGGTTGCTTCCTTTGGGGGCTGTGAGGAAGAGCCCCAGCCATGCCTTGCTCCTGGCCTTGGGTGTCTGCTGGCAGTCCTGGGTATTCATTGGCTTACAGCTGCCACACTCCCATTTCTGCCTCAGTCCTCACGTAACCATCTCTTTTTGGGTCTCTTCTGTGTCTGTGTCTGTCCCATCTTCCTTTCCTTTCTCTTACAAGGACACCAGTGGTTGGGCTTAGGATCCCATCCTAAATCCAGATGACCACAATTACTTCTGCAAAGACACTATTTCCAAATAAAGTCACATTCACAGGCATGGAGATCAGGACTTGTCCATGTCTCTTCGAGGGACATCATTCAACCTGCTATTGCATAGATGAGTAAGAGGAGTTTTCACGAGGCTCAGTGACTCCTCCCAGCACAGAGCTAGGAAGTAAGGGGGCTTTAAGACAGAAGACTGGCTCCTTCTGTCACAAGTCCAGGCCCCTCCTGTCTCCAGGCTTCAGTCATTATCTCGGAATACAACCCTTGGTTCAGAGATGTACATATAACATTCAGAGCCAAGGAGAATCAAGGAGCTCCGAAAAAGAAACACCTTTCATTTTCCACGGCAGTGTGCCTATTATATCTTGCTACATAACAACTACCCCAAGATGTTTTGGATTAAAACAACAAACATGCTTTATCTCACAGGTTTTGTGCATCAGCAGTTCCAGGTGGCTTAGCTGGGACTTTGGGATGGTGACCCCAGGCCAAAGTTATCAGCTAAACCTGCTGCCATGCCAAGGCTTGACCAGGAAACAGTCTGCTTCCAGGCCCATTTGTGGGGCTGGTGGAGGGCTTGGTTCTTCCCCTGGGCTGTTAGATGGAGGATCTCAGGTCCTTGTTTGTTATTGAGTAGAGACCGTCCTCAGTCTCTATTCAATAACAGTTTTATGCCTGAAGCTCACCATCTTTTGCTGGAGCTTACAGAGGGGCAGTCATAGACCTCTTGAGACCAGTAGGCCCAGGTACAGGTGATAAAAGCCCAGAGAGACCAGAAAGGGCAGAAGGTGAGTGGCTAGTGGACTCCCACCACCTGCCCACTGGAACCCTGGGGGCCTGGAGGGTAGGAATTGTGAGTCAGACTAGGGGTCTCCACAGGGCAGCCTGCTCACTCAGCCGGAGAAGGGGTAGAAGAACAAAAGCAAGTCACCACCCACCGTCACATAATCTGGGACATGGCATCTCAATCATGAGGCCACCAAGCCTGTCCCACACACAAGAGGAAGAGATTACACAAGAATGTGAATACCAATAAGCAAGGATCCCAGTGCACCATCTTAGAGACTGGCTACTAGACAGAGCCACAAAAGTAGACCCTCTTTGTCTGTGGATGGAGTGATGGGAAGATGTGAGGAACAGAGCTATGGCAATCATTCTGCTGCAGCGAAAGGAGGGCTGGGGATTTGGAGGAAGGCACGGCATGGAGCCTGAGCACAGGGCCAACAGCAAGGGATGCAGAAAGTGCAGACTCAGAAGAACCAGGCCCTTGATGACATGACTAAGCCTCTTGATCGGCCTCCTCTGAAGGCCGAAACCTCTGAAATGTTTAGATTTAACATGAGATAATAAATGCCGTGGACAGAAAGTCCTAATAGATGCATGACCCCACATATAAATATGGGCAAGGTAGAGAAAATAACCTCCTGAGGTTATTTTGCTTCTGGATACAAGCCTTTTTTTGTCATTCATGATCATTTGCTCACAGATGATCCACATGGATACTGTGAGCTGGGCTGGGGTGGCCATCCACAAGCCCAGGGCCAGGTTTCTAGCTGTATCCATATTTCCTTTATACGGAAGAACACCTCATATTTTATCAGGAGCCCCGAAGTCAAGCAGCTGATGAGGTTAAGGTCTGTCCACACCTGAGCACACAGCCCAAACCCCCAAATCCCAGGGACTATTCATTTCCCTGTGTTCGCAGGTGGGTTTTTAACAAAACTAGTAATGAGATCTTGCCTCCAAATCCCTTTTCCCTGGTGAATTCACTGGAGGAAAATCAGTTGGTCTGGGGGGAGTGCGCTTGGCCTGTTTTTTTTCCAGCGATGTTGAAAATCTACCATCTCCCAGCTCTGCCCTTCCACCCACACCCACCCACACGGAGACAGCTAACCATTAACCTGTCTTTCCCCATTTCACCGAAGAATCTGCGAGCACAGGCTCAGCCCCCACCCTCTCTCTCTGACTTCCTCCGACTCCAGACAGCACTTATGGAAAGTCAAAGTGTAATTGTGGAGATGTATTTGTGCTCTGGCCTTTTCAACTTTTTGAGAATCACACACTGTGGGTTTCCCCTAGCCCTGCCCTTCTCCCTACCCCATAAACAATGTCTGATCTACAGCCTTTGAGGTAGGTTTCTGATGGGAATTGCAGGTGATGGAGGCTCCTTCTGCTTCAGGGACCTCCCCCATTACCGAGTGGACATCACCTCCCCCACAACGTGCTCTGCTTCATGCATAGAGGAAAGAAATAACTCTTCCCTGGAGATGTGGTATCTGATTCATAAGAAAAAAAAAAAAGGAATTTTCAGGGAAGATAATAGGAAGGATTTTGTTTTTTTTTTTTCTCTTTTCACATTTTATTTGTAGAAGTATAATGACTAGATATCAATGTTCCCTTTTATTTATTTACTTTCAAATTTTAATGAATACCTCTAATTTTTATATTTAAAATGACTAGGCACCTATAGTTTGGAGCACATTGTATTCCACTGTGACAGCATATGGTATCAAGTGCTACTTATATATAGATTAATCAATGAGCAAATTCGGTTCTTACGAGGTGCCGTTCGTTCTTTAAATTGAAGAGCCATTGACAGCAGGAGAAAGAGGGTGCTACTGTCTTAGGATGCTACTGTCTTAGGATGAGAATCTACCATAAATCTGTTTACTTCTCCTGCTGTTCCTTTATTATCCAGCGAAGGGACTTCATATTTTCTAAGGGTGGCTGTTGTAAGCAGGCTCACCTATTCTGTTTTAGGTGGATTTCTTTCTTTGTTACACAGTGTATGCTTAACCTGAATGGGGTGGGAGGGTCAAACCATTCAATTCTATAAAGTTCCCAAGAGGCAGACACTGGAGGACTCTACTTCTGGTAGGTGTGGAACATGCAATTCTGCCCTCTCTAGATGTGGGTTCCTGATAAGGCTAGAAATCTCTGCTTTTAAAGTCCTTGGTACTCTTTGGCATAATGACAACCACCATTGCGCTAGGTACCAATGTTTGGGCCTGTGTCTGAGGCCCTATGCCAGGTGCATCACACACAGATTCCAGTCTCACAGCAGAGTGTGAACTGGTATCTATCTCCATTCTACACATAAGGAGGCTCAAAGTGTGATAGATCATATCACATGTGAAAGTCATGCCGTTAAACCAGGAATGCCTCAGATCTAAGCATTTGTTTTTTTTTCTGCCCACTCTATTACATTTCTTTATTGTTTTTCTCCTTTAATTTCTTTCCTTCTGGAGTGCTCACACTAACCTTTCTCATGTTCTGTTAGAAGCAAGGCTCATTAGAATAAGAAAGGCAATTGCCTGAACCTCACCATCTTTTGCTGGAGCTTACAGAGAGGCAGTCATGGACCTCTTGAGACCAAGAGGCCCAGGTACAGGTGATAAGAGCCCAGCTGAGACCAGAAAGGGCAGAAGGTGAGTGGCTAATGGACACCCACCACCCGCCCACTGGAACCCTGGGGGCCTGGAGGCTAGGAATTGTGAGCAGACTAAAAGAGCATTTTCGATTATCCCAGGAGAGAGGTGTTTAGCCAGGACAATTAGGTCATTTAAAATGACCATATTTTGTGTTAGAACCAAGGGAATTCTTAGTTCAGCCTGCCCTGGCTTTCTTAACCTCACTGGGTAAAGACACTGATGAGGAAAAAGAGGAGTCTCCCCACTGTCTGGTGATTTGCAAGGGGTCATCCAAGACTTCTGTGGAGGGTCTACCATCGGGGGAGGCTTGTGGGACAAGGTGCACAGCATAGGTAAGGAGTCATTGAATGCAAACTGATGATAATTTTCATAATGCTAAGAAGGGAAAGAAGAGGAGGGTCCCAAGGGTAGGAAGAAATTGTAAGCCACAGGATGTATAAAGGCTGCTTGGATGAAGGAATTTTGGACTACTCTGGGTGGCCCACCTGGTTGAGAAGGAGAGCCTTTGGGGTGGGGCTGGTGGAGAAAACAGTGCCTTTCTAAGGCTACAAAGACGGCCAGGAGTTAGCGGGGCAGAGACATGGGGAGGGCTTTCTAAGAAGAGGGGTCATAAGTAGTGGTGTAGTGATAGTTTTATATTTAAATTTAAAGAATGTCTTGATGGATTTTCAAGGTGAGGCTTTTCAGGCAGTTTCACCTTCCAATGTCCCCTACTTCCCATTTTCCCTACAGGTCAAATGATCAGATTCAAGCTGCTGTGACATGCCACTTTCAAAGCCCAGTAAATATCATTCCTTGTTAATCTGTTTATTCATCTCTTATAAACACCCTTTCCACCCCCTCCCCAGTTTCACCTGGAGGTCTCACACAGGAGCGCCTTCTCTCTGCTGTGCTCCCTGACTGCTGTGACCCCTGTGGACCCAGATGGAGCCACAGTCACTCCAGGAAGTCTTCTGTGCTGGCCCCACATCTTTCTCTTTTTCCTCTTTCAGCTTTCTCTGGATTCTAACAACGCTGTTGACGGGTTGGCTATGTCCCTACCCAAATCTCATCTTGAATTGTAGTTCCCATAATCCCCACATGTTGTGTCATGAGAGGGACCTGGTGGGAGGTAATTGAATCATAGGAGCAGTTACCCCCATGCTGTTCTTGTGATAGTGATTCTCACAAGAGCTGATGGTTTCTTAAGGGGCTTTCCCTCAGTTCACTCACACTTCTCCTTGCTGCTACCACGTGAAGAAGAACGTGTTTGCTTCTCCTTCCACCATGATTGTAAGTTTTCTGAAGCTTCTCCAGCCCTGCAGAATGGTGAGTCAGTTAAACCTCTTTCCTTTATAAATTACCCAGTCTCAGGTATATCCTTACAGCAGCATGAGAATTGACTAATACAGCTGTGCTCTGAGTCCCATCTGTTTTATCTGCTTTATGGGAGTGTGATAGCCCCTGGTCCACTGTGCACTCTTGGAGCACAATAATCTTGCTATAGAGTTCCTTGAATTCCCCAACAGACCCGAGATGCTATGAATCTGTTTCTGTCCATAACACTCTGCAGTTAAGGGCTGGTTCCCAATGACTAACTCTTGAAAAACACTTGAGTTTCTTCTATTAACAAAATGAAACAAATGATAACATTTAAACTTGACCATAATGTGTTTGAAATCTCATTTTTGCCTAGCCAAATGTCCTCCCCTTTTTTAGTTGAACAATTAAAGTAATTAGAAGTTTACTACAGATTAGCAGTACTATTTTAAAAGTTATAAGCCTCAGGTATTAGGCCTTCCTTTTTTGATTACTGGTGGCAGTCGGATTTGTTTACATAGTGCTTTACAGGTGACAGGAAACTTCTGGAGCCATTATCACGTTTTTCCTGCACACAAGACTGAAAGAGTATTTTCTACCCATTTGACAGATGAAGAAACTAAGGTATGAGGGAATGGGCAAAGGTGAGCCCAATATGCTGCAGCAGAGGAAAGGCATCTAGAGCTACCTGACAGAAAATTTTCTGCTCTTTTTTTTTTTTTTTTTTTTGAGACAGAGTTTCACTCATGTTACCCAGGCTGGAGTGCAATGGCGCGATCTCGGCTCACCACAACCTTCGCCTCCCGGGTTCAGGCAATTCTCCTGCCTCAGCCTCCTGAGTAGCTGGGATTACACGCACGCACCACCACGCCCAGCTAATTTTTTGTATTTTTAGTAGAGACGGGGTTTCACCATGTTGACCAGGATGGTCTCGATCTCTTGACCTCATGATCCACCCGCCTCGGCCTCCCAAAGTGCTGGGATTACAGGCTTGAGCCACCGCGCCCGGCCTTTCTGCTCATTTTAAGACACTACCCCCCAGCTTTTTTTTTGAGAGACAGAGTCTGACTCTGTTGCTGAGGCTGGAGTGCAGTGGCGCCATCTTGGCTCACTGCAACGTCTGCCTTCTGGTTCAGGCAATTCTCCTGGCTCAGCCTCCCGAGTAGCTGGGATTAAAGGCATGTGCCACCATGCCCAGCTAATTTTTGTATGTTTAGTAGAGAAAGGATTTTGCCATGTTGGGCTGGTCTCGAACCCCTGACTTCAGGTGATCCACCCACCTCTGCCTCCTAAAGTGCTAGGATTATAGGCATGAGGCACTGAGCCTGGCCTGGCCCTTGTCTTATAAAATCAAAAAAGTAGATACTACTGCATTTACCTAAGACCATGGACAGGGAGTCTGAAAACTCATTCATTTGAGTGGACTGAGGCATGGGAAAGTGTGTTGTTTTGATGGAGTGAGGCTCACATGCATTTCTCATTCTTTCTCTTCATTTAAGAAGTAAAATTATGCAGCAAAATATTGTGTTTCCTTCAAGCCCAGATTAAGCGTTTTGCAAAAAAGCAGTTTAGGAAGGAACAGGGATGGAGCAGAGCCTTCTGTAGTATTTTAAATCAAAGGAGTTGGCTATAAAATGTGGAGACTAAAATAACTGTGGAGAACACAATGCCTTCCCATAAAATAGAAACTTGGGAAGAAGACTCCAGATAAGAAAGGCTGACAGTTGGCACTTGTGTCATTTACCAGCAGGAAAGGGTGATTTGAATGATTCGAGTTGAATGTGCTGAGCTGGAGGTGAATCCAATATGACTGCAAAGCTCGGTACTGTCCTGGTCATTGTGCTTTGTGGGAGAGGGAGAAGGACTGTGAGTACTTGAGTCCAAAGGTGATCTTTCCTTACTTTGTAGTTCTGAGGAGACTGCACCTGGACGAAGCTGTAGAGATTTGGGCTATGTGGTATGAGACGCATGTATGCAGACTAAAAGGCATTCAGCCAAGGGATCTACAAATAATTAAAAGAAGAGTGAGATTACCTTTCATGGACGGACACAAAGACCAACTGTATGTATTTACTCTAAATGACAACAGGAGGAGACCAGAAAGATAATTGAAGGACTGCGTAGATCAAAGGGCTAGAGGATTTGCCCTCTCTGGCACAACGGTCTAGAATTGCAAGGGAAAAAAAAGAAAAAAACAGAGTAAATGTATGATGCTAACATGCAGTTTGCCTGTCAGAAAATCTTAAACAAAAACATAGGGAAATCACTTTTCGTGGAAGAACTCAGATTTCGGGGGTGATTCAAAACCTACCCTCATAAACTGTCAAAAGTACATTTGGAGGAGAGGAACCATGTGCAGTCAATGAACGAATAGTTTAGAGGATCTGCTAGGATAGTTCATGATTGGCCACTATGGCAATGTGACATAAAATAGGAAGCCCCAGTGGTGTTGCTCAATTACATGTGCATTCGACAAGCAGAACCTTGGGCATAGAACAGGACCCCTAAGTTTCTTACAGCCATGATAGAATATAGAGTATCTCTTTTGAAACAAGCCCCTACATAAGCTTCAAAAATAAACAAGTACCATTCAGAAGATGTGAACTCAGAGATACCAAAGAAGAGAGGATGCAAAATCAGACTTTTGGGGAAAGAGACCGAGCTACCATTTTTTGAAGACAAGTGCTGCTAAGTTTAATCCTGTAGTTAGCCTCAAGAAAAAGGAGGACATTAATAATCAATTCAAAAACATATATTTCATTGTATTTGATGGAAGGTAAAGGTCTTGAGAGAGAAAAGCCTAATGCAAGAACTAAGAAGAATCCAATATGGCTGCAAGGCTCAGAGGTGCAAGGTACAGAGAGCCCAAGCTGTTTAGAACCCAGGCCAAACTTTCTGTGATTCATGCAGAGGTTTGTGAGAATTACCCCAAGTCAGCAAAGAGGACCACTGGGAAATCACACATATAAAAATGACACCATAAAGTTTGTGCTTTGATCATTGTGTAAAGATCATCCTGGCCCTGAAACGGAGAATAGACAGGAAGAGTGAGATAACAGAGGTAAGGAGGTGAATTCGGAGTTTGATGTAGAAGCCCAGAAAAAAAAAAGATAATGAGGCCTGGACTGAGAAAATGGTGGAAAATGGTAGTCAGTTAAAGAGACTGAAAAAAAAAAATTGAAAACTATTGGAAAGATAGAATCCACAGGCCTCGTTGCTTAATGAGATGGGCGGGTTGGTGTTGAGGAAGGGTAGGTAAAGAGACATCTCGATTTCTCAAGTGGGCATCAAGTTTGAGGTAATGCCATTAATCAGAGGACACTGATAGTGAAGTAAAGCTCTGGGGAGGAGGATGTCATAGGGAAGCTAAAGTAAAGCCAACTTGAGCATATTAGTTGTTTTTGTTTTTTTTGTTATTTTTTTTGATGGAATCCTGCTCTGTCACCCTGGCTGGAGTGCAGTGGTGTGATCTCGGCTCACTGCAACCTCCACCTCCGGGGTTCAAGCAATTCTTCTGCCTCAGGCTCTCAAGTAGCTGGTATTACAGGTGCCCACCACCATGCCTGGCTAATTTTTCTATTTTTAGTAGAGACGGGGTTTCACCATGTTGGCCAGGCTGGTCTTGAACTCCTGACCTTAAGTGAGCCGCCTGCCTCAGCCTCCCAAAGTGCTGGGATTATAGACGTGAGCCACTGCATCTGACTAAATATACTAGTTTGCAGCCTCTGTGATATGGCCAAGTCTCAAGACAGTCATCACATATATAAATGCAAAGATCTGGGGTCTAAGGAGAATCACGGCTGCAAATGCAGCTGCGGGAGTCATCATCATGAGTGGTTCATGCAGCCTGAGAAGCAGAAGGGTGTCAGGAGATAATGTAAATGAGATGATATAAAATTATTTATGATATTTTAAATGGCTTATGGCAAACTTTGAGGAACATCAACAGCTAATGGCTGGTAGAGAAAGACAGTCCTGGAAAGGAGAATGAGAAGAACACTGTAAGAGGCCAAAAGGAAACCCGGATCTAGGGGCCATTAAGGAAGTTCCAAGCAGGACCCAGGAATGTTCTTCAGGATGATGGGATGGGTCAGGGCACAAGTACTAAGACTCTATTATGGGTTCAGCTTTTTTGATACAAAGATGAATAAGAGAAACATATCTGGCCGAACTGCCCACAGATGCCAGGAGGCTTTTAGAAAAAGAAACACTAGGGCCGTGCCTTGAAGGCAGAACAGGAATTTTCTGGGAAAGAAGTCATGCCAAGCACGAGGACCTGAATACGCAAAGTCTAAGTTGTGGCCAAACAGAATGTGCTTGAAGAACAGGAAGCAATTCCATACGCAGGTTCAAGGGGTTTGTGGTGGAGGGGTGCCTGGGAGGATATGGGCACATGGGGATTTGTAGTGGAGTAGAAGCTTGTGCTGGGATGCTTGACTCTTGTCTTACCAAATGTGGGGAACCTTAGGGCTTTATAAGATGGTAAAGAGCGGCCAGGCACAGTGGCTCACACCTGTAACCCCAGCAATTTGGGAGGCTGAGGCAGGTGGATCACCTAAGGTCAGGAGTTCCAGACCAGCCTGACCAACATGGAGAAATGCCATCTCTACTAAAAATATGAATTTAGTGGGTGTGATAGCACACGCCTGTAATTGCAGCTGTTTGGGAGGCTGAGACAGGAGAATCGCTTGATCCCAGGACGCGGAGTTTGCGGTGAGCCAAGATAATGCCATTGTAGTCCAGCCTGGGCAACAAGAATGAACCTCCATCTCAAAAAAAAAAGGTAAAGAGCATGTTCATCCTTGTTCAGAAAGATGTCTTTAGTGGTGATAGCCCTGGAGACTATAGAGCTGTGTGGAGAGGAGGCATATTTAAAAAAGAGACTGGATATGCTTTAGTCATTAGTGCAGGGGATTCGGGGGTGAGTATTTTGGGGCTTGTCTTGGGTATCAGAGAGGACGATTCTGTTTTTCTAAGAAGATGAGAGGGGGACAGTTTTAGAGTCCAGCAAGGGATAGTTTAGTTACAATAAACCTAATCCTGGCCATTGTCACTGATTGTTTCCATAATAATAATAATCAAAAGACCAGAAGCAGGGGCAGCATTATTGACTAGATGTCAGGAATTTGAGAGGAGATGAAGGTCTAACCAAATCTTGGGGATGAATTCTCTTTGACTTTCTGAAGTTGAATCAGAGATGATGATCAGGACCATGGCACCACCTCTCACAGCATCATGTCTTTCAGGGTCTTTGGTAGAGAGAGCAGCTGCCTTCTGCGGAACATCGCCTCTGTTCTAAGACCTTAACCTACACGCTCTAATCAGTGCTAGTACCAACACTATGAAGTCACCCTTAGGAAGCTTGCCTTGTCTTGGGTCAGACTTTAAAAGCGGCTGAGTTCAATTTCTAGCCCAACTTATTCTGGTTCCCGAGGGGCTTCTTCCTTCTTTATATCTGCGTCTCTTTATCCACTGATCACCCTGTCTGGCATTATCCGGCATCACCCTGGAACCAGCTGACTGACCTTACTGTTTCCTGATGTCTTAGCTTGCTGAATTGCTATGAACCAAAACTGAGACTATAAGCGAGTGAAATGGGGAGGGAGGAATCAGGATTTGCATTATCAGTACAGTGATTCTTGTTGACATTGCTGAAAACCCCATGAGGTGAGGGGCAGAGGAGGCTATGTCTAATTACTTTTTATTTGTATCAATGAATAAGTGCTTCTCTTTCTAGAAGCCCCCATTAAAAGCCAGTGAAGAAGCATCATTGGGACAGGGGTCCCAGACATTCTTCACTTCCCATCCCCCATACGCATTGAGCGCTTCCTAAGTGACACACAGCATGTGACATTCTTCTCTCAATTCTCCAGGTGACAAGGCAGTTATGTCACTGGCAGGGTCATGACCAGGACAGAATCATGCATGGATCTCCTAAACCCTCTCCACTTGGATTGGCAGCCTCTTTTTCACTGCTGTGATGGAAACAGATGAATAAATAGGAGCTAGAAACCATGGACCATCAAAGAAGTCGTTATGACTTAATGACTGAACCATTTCTCAGATGAAGAAAATGTGGCATAAGAGCTGAAAGTTAATGCATTAAAGATCACATCTCAATCTGGATCTCCATAGAAGTCTATGTATACTTCTGGGTAATTGCACATTCCTCTCCCCCATATGCTGTGGACAATTGGCAGAAAAAGTCTGGCTTCCAATTCCGGACCCCAATGCTTCATAGTGTTGGCACACAGAGGCTGACCAGGAGCTCATGGCTAGGCATGCTGCTGAATGTGAGGCTATTGTTTGTCAGGCATTTTACTGGTCCTGGCATTTGAGTAATGATGTTAATCACTTTTATCTAGTTTCACCTCCAATTTCGTGTTGCATTTGTTGTGAATTTTAATCCTCTCTTCCTTGTGAAGAAGATAGTATTATTATCACCATTTTTGCAAATGTAGTAACTAGGAACCTAAGAATTTAAAACCTGCCTTGGTTCATGAGGCTGGTAAGTGGTAGACGAGGACTTGAACTCCAAACTTCTGATTTTGAATCTTAAATGGATGTGCACAGCTACCGAGATGAATGGGACCCCATCTGTACCTTCAGGAAGGTTCTAGTCTCAGAGAAGTGATGTCAGAAAATAAACAGAGGGATGTGCACTCCACTCCTTTATTGCTTGGGATCGGCCTGTGAGCTCCAATCCATGGGTTTGCATTTCAGAACAGGAACAATGTCCTCCTTGGGGGAGGAAAAGCAAATAGGCCTGAGAAATGGTTCAGTCATTGTTAATGTCATGACTGCTTCTTTGATAGTCCATGGTTTCTAGCTTGTTTCTTCACCTCTTTCCATCACTGCACTACAAGAGAGTCTGCCAACCCCAGCCAGAGAGGATTCAGGAGATCTGTGTATGGTATTCTGTCCCTGCTGTGACCCCACTAGGGAGCAGGCAGGAATTAAGTGATGAAAAATGCTAGTATGAAACATTGCCATAATTGCTTTCTGGAAAACAACAAACTTAATTCCCAGTCAAATGTCATTAGAATTTTCCAGGCCCTCTGATGGGGAAGATAAAATGCCCTTCCTAGAAATTTCTCATGCTCTGTGGTTTCTACGAGATGAGGAAGACTCTGTAGAGAAAGACAGTGTGGTGATATGACTTGGGAATCTATGCTGATTTCCCTGTTTCATCAAATGTACATGGGACTCTTCTTAAATGGACGAAAAACTGCAAAGCCCAGGCTGACATACATTTTAAAAATGTCTATGAGCATAACAAATGGCTCTGGAGTCACTTAGCCTGAGTCCCATCCTGTCACTTAATAGCTATGCATCCTTGAGTACCTTACTTAAGGTATAAAGCTCTGATTTTCTTGTCTGTAAAAGTAAGGCTGATGCTAGAATTTTCCTCATAGATCTGTCAGGACCTTTTTATAAGTTATTCCAGGTTAAACACTTAGCATGTGCCTGGCACAATAAATGTTGGCAATGACTGTAACACTTTTTCTGTTTCTCTTCTTCTCCAAGCTGATATGTGGAGACTGGGCTGTTTTACTTCAATGACCCTTTCTTTGGTGTCATAACTTCCTTTCTGAATTCATCAAATTATTCCAAGTGGCAAAGGTCCTCACACGGTGGTTTTGTGGACCCACAAAGCCCAACAGTCGTTCCAGAGTCACGTGGAGTGCTGGATAAGTGTCTATGGCCCTGAACTTTGTGGGGAGAGGATTGATGAGTTGAGCCAATAGGTGTTGAAGTGTATAGCAAGAAGACTCAACTCCCTTCTTGTGATAATGGAAATAATTTCAATTCATTTACATCTGGTTGGACAGAAACATGTTTTTAGCAGTGAGCAAGTCTTGAGGAAATCCATTGACCTGAACAGCTATATAATGCATGAAGTTACTGGACAAAAAATGATATTCATCTTCAGTTTATAATAGCATTTTCTTCTGCAGCACCTTAACTTAGGGGTGGTGAGGGGTACTGCTGGTGCAGCCACTCTACCACTGACAGGTGCATGACCTTTGTTGTATCTAACCATAATTGGATCTATGGTGAAATAAAATAAAAACCAACACAAGTTTTGACACTAAGATAATAAATTATAAATTATGGAAGTCTACGCCACCAAGGATCTTGTAAACAACAGGCTGGTCTCTTAGCAACAGACCAACGAGAGCAGGTTGTTGATTGAAATGGAGCAGACAGGATTGTTTTGCAGTGATTACTACCAAAGACCAGGAACTACATTTCAACACCTGCCCGAGGCCCCATCTCTGCCCAGCCCTTCTTTGTCTAGTGGCCAGTGCCCCTTCCCCACTGACCCAGGTGACCAGACCCCATGGAGGGGACAAAAGAGATGTGGACTAAAAGATAGAGGTGGGCTGAGGATACCCTGTGGGCCCACGAGGGAATTAGAGAGGGGGTAGGAGAAATAAACACATTCTTATTTGATATTGTTTGAAATTAGGACTCTAAACAGCGGACTCCTTTTCTCCCCTGCCCCTAATTCCCTTTGGTTTTGAAAATCTCACTGAGGGTGGTTGTCATGAAGGAATTTAGACAAGGCTTTGACAAGGTGCCAAAATGGTTTATTTTTAAATGTTGTTCCCGAAAGCACCAGAATATTAATTTGGAGCAAATGTTACTTGGAAGAGCGAAGGGGTTGTGGTCACACAGACTTGGAAGGAAGGGTGATGGGGATTAAGGTGTTTGTGACCTGGAATTAACAAAGGCAGGTGGACTGAAGGGCTCAGTCCCCAGGAAGCTTTTTTTTTAAACAAATACACGTGTAAGAGAGAGTGTGGGTGAGTGTGGGTGTGTGTGTGTCGGTGTTTCTCAACTGCAGGGCATTTTCAGAGTTGGGGTGCAGAGGGAGGTTTTCTTTAATTAATTAGATGTTTACCTCCAGCATCATCCCTCAGTGATTTAGACAATCATCTGCCCACATGTTAGGAGTGAGATTCGAGAAAGCCTCTTGGAGTGAAATTTTCCTGGAAATATCCTGATTCTTAGCAGCACATGCCCTCTCCCTCTTTCTGTGATAGAAACAGCCAGTTCTGCATTATTCCAAACCACAAAGCAAGAGGCATGCCACCCCAACTTAGGATATGAAGGAAATACCAGCCCCCTAATTGCACCGGGGCCACACAGCCTGCACCTCCCTCCGTCGCCCTGACTGCATCCATTTTATCGTTTCATAAGAAAAGTGGCCGGCTGAATTATGACTACTTGTGATTTATTTGGCATGTCATTTTAAACTTTTCATATGTATCAATTTTCCATTTGAAAAGAAAGAGAAAATTCACTGCTATTCTCCAAGGCCTCATTTTTGGGGGGCTCCTCTCATATCACGAACAGAGGCTTTGTGACTTCTGAAGTGACTAGGTTTTGGAATATATCTGTGCTTGGAAGCAGTCTGTTGGGATGAAATTCTATCTGGAATGGTGCCCTGGCCCCATCAGAGAGAGGCTCTGGATTTGTAAAACACCTGTTAAGGACCCCTGGTTATGAACCCCCCACAAACACGTCTCCAGCACCCACAATTGTGCTGCAATGAAGGCCCCATTGCTCCATTCCACAGATGAAGCTGCAGAGGCCCAGCAATGCCAAGCGACTTCCCCAAGCTTAATGCCAGAGCCCACTTCCACTTCGGGATGAAGTGGCTTCAAAGTCCATACTTTCCGCATCACGGCAGCCTGCTCTGGGGAAGGTCACAGCCAAGAAGGCTCCAGGGCTGTCTTACTGCTGCTGCCTCTTCTTCTTTTAATTACAAAAAAAAAAAAAAAAAAATGCATCATCATGAAAACCAACCATACACAAGACATAAAGTTAAAAGGCAAAGTCCCCCCTCATCCCCTCTCTCGGCCCCTCAAGTATGTTAGAAGATCTTTTCAGAGTTGAATTTTCACTCTGCAGGAGGGTGTTTAGCACACGAAGAATACGACCCTTTCTTCCATTTGTTTGTAGCTGGTACATTTCGAAAAAAAAGTGACCCTTGTCTTTGATGTTTTTTATTTTCCTTTATTTTTGTCAACATATTGTGGAAAATGCTGAGTTATTTGGATCGTTCTTCCCCTTTTCTCTCCGACAGCAAATCACCAAGATGTACCTTTCCAGCGCCTAACATCCATGAACTCACCAAAGTTCCAGGCTGGAGTTATATTGTAGAACGTAAGCAGTTCTTGTCAGTTCTGATCTTGGCAATGTGAATTCTCCCCTTTCCCCAGGGAGACTCAGAAACCTGCATTTTCACAAGATTCCCCAAGTGACATGTGTGCACAACAGGGTTTGAGAAACCCTGTGATGGACTCAGCTGCTTCAGAGGGAAGACACAGAACAATTGCCAAGTTATCAAGGAAAGCTTGGACTGACAGCAGAGAACGCAGTAGAAATGCACCATCCAACTGCTGTCAGCTCAGGCCCTAGCTACTGCAAGAGCATGGAGAACTGTTTCTTCTCTGGGCAGGCCTGATTTCAATCAAATGGAAGCAGAACTGTGAGGACAGTTTCCCACCCAGTAGCTTGGAGCCCTACCTGGCCACCAAATTGGCCTAGCTGGTCCTACCTGCATTTGGTAAGAGCTGGGGATTGGGCCCAGGCAGAGAGCAAGACTGAACTGGCTTCCTCTCCAGTTTCCTCTGGGGTGGCGGGGTCCCGTGTCCTGCCCCCGCCTCGCCCTGTGCAAGCTTGGTGCAGTGCAGCCCCTCCAGCTCTTGCCCCACAATGCCGTGCGCAGGCTGGCAGCAGTTCAGCTGAGGACTAAATGCTTGGCTCAAGTTCAACGCGGCTGCCAAGATTTGGCAACCAGAGAGTTGCAGGGAAGCAGCAGGCTGCTAAACCCTTTCACATTTTTAATTAGATCCACACACCCATGTCTTTGAGCTATCATAAATATACAGATGACATAGAGAGTATTATTCGGGGTTAAAAAAAAAAAAAGGAAGCAAACTCTACCAAGGTACAGCTTACCTTATTGAAATAATTTCCCTATCACTAGTTTGAGGGCTGAGGAGGAAAAAGAAAGGGTAGTGATATTTGCTTAAGTAGAACCATGTCTGACAAGGGAATCTACCTTGGATTGGGAAAACACAGGTCTCGGCTGCCTTGCTTTCATCCTGGGCTTTGAGAATATCGCCAGAAGAGGGCATTCTTGGCACCGGCTCAGCCCTGTGCAGCCCTGAGCTCGCAGGGCGCAGAGCTGGAGGAGTCATCCCTCAGGCCACTCCCAGCTCCCTTTCTTGGGGACAGCACTGCCACGGAGCAGCGATGTTCTCTGCTTCGCCCTAAATGCAGCAACTTGTATGTTCCATGTTGCTTTACTATTTTCCTTGTTGTATTTCCTTCTCTGGTTTGTTTTTGGGGTGTCTCCCCTGGAAAACAATTGCCGATGCTTCTGAATGTTTCTAAGTCCTGTGCCACAATATGCTCTGCTTCTTGTCCCCGTGCCAGAGTCAGCCATTCATCTGCACTCAGCCCCTGGGTGATTCTCCCACCGGGGAGGAAAGAAGATTCAAATCTTGATTCAAATAATCCCGGGCTTCGCTCTGGTTTCACTGTGTGGCTTTGGACATAGGATTTCAAAGCCATCACATTGGTTCCTTCATCTGAAAGATCCCAAAGCAGTTCTGGCCTCATACAGTGGCTCTGAGGTTTATTTCATATGCACAAGGCTCATAACACAGTCAGCACCCAACGCCTGCTTATTATTACTATTGGGAATGCACATGACAGAACATGTGCCTTTTGCACAGTCAGCTAACAAACAATGCCACCAAAACAACAGCGTTAGTTTTTAGTATTCTTCTCTGTCCTGCTTATCCTCTTGTTTGTGACAAAGACCACCCATGCTTCTCAGACCACTCACCCTAGTCTGATCAATTTGCTATAAGATGAAAGTGAACCCATGCATTGGTGTACATGCCCTTAATTTTAAAGACATGTTAAAAAGGAAATGAAACACTTGAAATGCAGGAAAGAAGTGTCTCTGGTTGTCCCATCTGAGAGCACAAAGTTTATAAATAGAACCATCAGAAGCATCAGACACGAGCTGTGCACACACACACACACGCACACGCACACACACACACTCACACACACACGTGTACACACACACACACACACACACACTTGTGTCCTTGGCTTATGGTGAACTTGTTGTACACCCTCCAGTTGCCCCTGCAGAAACCCAGAGTTTGTCATGGACACTTTGGCAGCATTTGGCCTTTTCCCCATTCTTCCTTCATTTATTTTTTTTTCCCACATATGACTTGAAAGTAGGGCATGTTTTACCGTGGCAAAATTCCCTCTGAGCTTGACCTGCAAACAGGACAGTCAGGCTAACTGGGCTGACCTGTTCCAATGAAATGGGCTGAGACAATTCTACCCCCAATGAGCATCTTTCAGCAGATGGAGAGGCTGAGGACAAACAGATTGGCGGGCTTAGGCATCCTCATCTTTTCCTGTAGTTCCTTTTGCTCCCCGACACCTCACTTTCTTCCCCAAACCCCAGGTACAGGGAATTGCCTTTCACTAGGAGAAGAAAGGATACAAGCTTCTTATGCACATGGGCACACACACACACACCCATTTGTGCTCACAGACACTGAAGCAGGACGCTTACACCAGGACTGTTCCACCCAGAATAGAGAGAGCAGTGATGGCTCCCACAGCCACGAAGACCCAGGCTGAGTCCCACCTACCTCCCTGGTCCTGATCAGGCTCTGACGACGGGGAGCGCACTGCCACTCATTATTAGTTATGTATACGAGAGGAAGCAGCACATTTCTATGAGAGTAAAGTAGGTATGATCCATGTCATGCTCTCCTAGAGCAAAAAGGGTCATGCTGAAACCAGTCCCATTCTCTGAGCCGTCGTGGGCTGCCTGTATGTGGCCTCCCCATAGACACATTGAAAGAAATGGGCCCTGTGACTCCCTGGCCCTTCCTGCATTTTATGGAAGATGAAGGAGGTGGGCTGGGAATGAATACATGCACCTTATGTATTTAAAGACATTCCCTGATAGTGCTCTGACACTTTCTGGGAAGTTTTACTAACTCAGGACTGAAATGTATTAGTCTGCTTGAGCTGCTATAACAAAATACCACAGACTGAGTGACTTAAATCCCAGAAATGTATTTTCTCAGTATTCTGGAGGCTGGCAAGTCCAAGATGATTTCTGGCTTGCTTGGTTTCTGGTGAGGGCTCACCTCCTGGCTTGTAGACAGCCACATGGCCCTCCCTTGGTGTGTGTGCCTGAGAAGATAGCATTCTGGTGTCTCTTATAAAGACACTCATTCTATCATACCAGAATCTACTTTTATGACCGCAGTCAGTCTTACTTCCTTAGAGCACCCATCTCAAAATATAGCCATACTGGGGGTTAGAGCTTCAGTGTATACATTTGAAGGGATAGAAATTTCAATCCATAATAAAAGCATTTTCGTACTTTTGGAAGGAGAAGGAGTCAGATGGAAATTCTACTCACTCTGCCACCCAGTAGCTATGTGGCTTTGTATAAATCTCTTAACCACTCTGAGTGTTATTTTCTACATTTGAAAAATGGGGGTTAAAAATGCTTTCCCTAGTGTGTGATTCTAAATAATAGGTTAGGTAATGTGCACACAGTACCTTGCCAAGAGAGGCACTCAAAAAACGCAATAGCCATAGTGGTGGGTGATACCATTATTTATTATTTGATATTATTATTTGTTAATACCACCCAGACAGTGTTGCCTAAAATGCTGGCTTAGAGCTTTGCATCGCCAATGTTCTCTGTACTGCTGTTTGCATCTCTTTACCATCAATGCTGACACGAGTCAATGAAGATCACAGGGAGTGTGACCATATGCAATAGTACCTTCCATGGGGTCCAGAGGAAACAGACAGGCTCACTTCCAGAGAAGTGACTATAACTATTCGTATCACTTCATTTTTAGGGGATTTTGCATTAATTGTTGATAACATTATGCATTTAACACAGTCATGACAATCAGGCTTGAAGCTCTTGGTTAAAGCAAAAGTCATGCAGGAAAAAATAAACAGCTACATTCATTACACTTGGGGAGCCTAAAGTTGAGGGAACCAAGGATTGGAATTAGGCAGTTCCAAAGGCCATACCCTGAGCTTCACAATCCTGCCTGAGTCAGCAATTGCAACAATAATGCTGCATAACAAATCATCCCAGCTCAGATGCGTGAAACACTAAGTACTTCTTCTCATGCTCATTGGTCTCTAGGTTTACTGTGGTTCTGTTGAGCTAGACTTGGCTCAGCTGATTGGCTCTGCTGCAGGTTGCATGTCTCCTGGGCATGGTTTTAAGCTATAGATTGGGTTCTCAACCACTTAATGTGTGCTTGTTCTGGGTTCCCAGCCTAAGGTGTGGCAGCTACCTCAGGCACATTACAGTCTAAATGCAGAGAAGAGCAAGCACATCTAAGGTCTACATCTTGTGCACACGCATGCCAATGGTTAGGTCAAGCCACGTGGCCAAGCCCAATCTCAGGAAATGGAGAAGGAAACTCTACACAGTATTATTGAGGAAGATGGGAGTGAAGTATAGCTGAAAAATAACACAAAACAATTGAATACCCTGCACACAACAGCATACAGAAAACCAGCATAGCAGCGACCCCCTTACCTTGTTTATCAGCAGAATGCTAATTCGCGTTAGGGCATCTCTAGCAGATGATAGCCAGCATCCATTCTGACTCGTCAAGTTTCCATTTTGCTTGATCAGTGCCCTTTAAAATATCTTGACTATCACCCTGGACTGTCAGTTTCTATAGCAATACCAGCCAACTTCCTAGGGCCTCCAATACCAGCACCAATGAACTTCCCCTCAGAACCCTCAAAATTCTCAGGACAGGGTCCCAGCACTGCTGGAATTGTGATGTGGATACAGGTTTCAGGGTGAAGGAGATAGGAGTTTAAATGACATCTCTGATGCTTCCCAAAAGTGTGACCCTGGGCAACAACATGACCTCCTGAACCTCAGGTCTTTAGTGGGGATGCTTGTGGTGCTGCTGTGAAAAATAAACTACTGGGTGTATGGAAATCAGCCTACACAGGGCCTGTGATTTACAGCATGCACCCACTAAATGATTACTCTCTTCTCGTTTTACTATTAGCTTGAATCTTATAGAATTGTCAGAAATAACCAAGGGTTGGCAATTTCATACAGTTCAACCTACAGATAATAAAACCCATATGCGCAAATATAATATTTTGTTTAACTCTATTCTTTGCAGTCCTGGATCATTCCTCATCTGTGGAAATGAAAGCCAAGATGGGAAATATCCAATGAAAATATGGCCAAATGTCAAGTAGTGTAGCAGAATAGAAATCCTCTGTGTTATTAGAATCACTCCAGTGATGAAGATGGAATGGTGGGGTTGCAAGGAGGTACAGACAGGTGGAGTATAGACAAGTGAATCAACTGTTGATCTGCTTGCCTTCCACAGGGTGGAAAGCGTCAAGTAAGAGCAATGGTATAAGGAAGGATGGGTGTTCTGCAGAGGTGCAAGGGGCTGAGAGGCCACAGGAGAAAATCTGTGCCCATTGTATGGTGTGCAGAGAAGACCGTGTAATTTCGAATTAAGCAGATATAGGAGTTTTAATATCAGCTCTTTCAAAAACACATATAAAATCTTGGGCCAGTCGCTAATTTCTCTGAACTTTTCACCTGTAAAAATGACATAGTTATCACAGAAACACT